TGCCTGAAGAGAGGAAGGTGTGGAGCTAAACAACCGGTCTCCGTAGCCGTGTAACAATCACATCTACCTCATTAAGGCTGTGTTTACACAGGCAACCCCATTCTGATCTTTTGCCACTAATTGGTCTTTTGATCAATCCGATCTCTTGTCAATAATTGGGCAAAATATCAAAATTTGTCTGCCTGTGTAAAGATTAGAATTTGTCTGCCTGTGTAAAGATCAGAATTTGGCTGCCTGTGTAAAGATCAGAATTTGGCTGCCTGTGTAAACGCAGCCGAACAAGACCAAACAACAGGAACATGGATTGAATGATTGATTGATTGACAGATAGATGGTTTTATTGATTGATTGATTGGCCTTTTTCACACTTTGTTACCTTATACGTGGGAACTTTGATAAAAACATTGTTGTAAACCTATCCCTTCATTATTTTTCTGGCTGTCCAGTGATCTATTTATTGAATCATATGTTAAGTGAAAACATTTATGAACTTAACAAAGAGAAGTAAATGGTCTGACTGTTTTTATTAAATTTTTCTGAAATGTTTTATAACATGTTTCCTCCCTGTAAATACATCCTAGTATTATGTCAGAGTGACTTTCTTTCTGTTCTCTTGGAATAACGTGCCTACATCCTGAATTATAATAGCCTACCAGTAAGCCAAGGTCCACCCAGGGCAAGCTATGCCAAGACCCACACAGAAACAAACATCCACTTGCTGTCCTGACTGAATCAGAAAAATAAGTTATTATTATTGAGGTGATGATGATTTGATTCATCATCATGCCATAAAGACAAAGAACAACATATATAGAATGCATGACTAAAAATACAGTACCTTTCATTACCAAAACCATGTTCACTGCACATGTTGCTGAACAATTCAACCCTTTTGTTAGTGTCATTGATATGGAAATTCACATACAAATATTCAGTTCATAAGCATTGACTGTAATCCCGCTAGGGTCCTGTGGTGAAACAACTGCTGTGCAAGGTATTGGGCAACAGCTTTACTCCGGGTCCTTTATTCACAAAGGCTGTAATGTTACAAAATGTGGAAAAAGTCAAGGTGTCTGAATACTTTCCGAATGCACTGTATAAAGCCTGCTGTGAGTAGAGCAGGAAGAATGAATTGATACCACAACATATACAGTGACTTCAGAAAGTATTCAGACCCCTTGACTTTTCCCACATTTTGTTGTGTTACAGTCTTATTCTAAAATTGATTAAATTGTTTTTCCCCATCATCAATCTACACACAATACCCTATAATGACAAAGCAAAAACATGTTTTTAGAATTTTTTGCTAATTTATTAAAAACGTAAATATCAGATTTACATCAGAATTCACACCCTTTACTCAGTACTTTGTTGAAGCACCTTTGGCAGCGATTACAGCATCGAGTCTTCTTGAGTATGACGCCACAAGCTTGGCACACCTGTATTTGGTGAGTTTCTTCCATTCTTCTCTGCAGATCCTCTCAAGCTCTGTCAGGTTGGATGGGGAGAGTTGCTGCACAGCTATTTTCAGGTCTCTCCAGAGATGTTCGATCGGGTTCAAGTCCGGGCTCTGGCTGGGCCACTCAAGGACATTCAGAGACTTGTCCCAAAGCCACTCCTGCGTTGTCTTGGCTGTGTGCTTAGGGTCGTTGTCCTGTTGAAAGGTGAACCTTCGCCCCCGGTCAAGGATCTCTCTGTACTTTGCTCCGTTCATCTTTACCTCAATCCTGAATAGCCTCCCAGTCCCTGCTGCTGAAAAACATCCTAACAGCATGATGCTACCACCACAATGCTTCACCATAGGGATGGTGCCAGGTTTCCTCCAGACGTGACGTTTGGCATTCAGGCCAAAGAGTTCAATCTTGGTTTCATCAGACCAGAAATACTGTCACGTAACTACAGCTGTGAGAGTGTATTGATGTACTGTCTGTTGGAATGCTTATGTGGAGTGTACCAACTGAGATTGTAATATTTGACAAAAATATCCTGTAAACCCCATTGGTGCTCACAGCTATATTTCTGCTACATTTTCTCATACCTCTCCCTCCAGAACTTAATCAAGTACCAGGCAATATTTTAGTTCTGGATTTTCAAGATTAGTAACACTATAAATGCAATTGCAAATTATGAATACAGTGTTTTATAAGCCCATGTGGGCTGGGCATTCTGAAGACGCGTAATAATCAAATCAATAACATCAAATCAAATCTACCTGAAGTTTGTGTGTGAGATGAATTCAAACGCAAAGGCTGTCTGTGACGTTCCTGCGTCATCATTCCTTAATCACAGACAGTATTCAGAGCTGGCAAACTTGTGGAATAGACACCGGCTGGAATGCGGTATTAACCAATCAGCATTCAGGATTAGACCCACCCCGTTGTATAAAAGGGCATAGCTGTCCTGAATCTCTAGTACATCTGTAGTTCTCTGAGTCTCAATAAATACAAGAGGGGAAAACTCAATAGAATGATGGATGATTTTATTTCTTATTATGTCAGCAGGTAGACAGTGAATTACATCTTACATGTAAAAACCAACAAAACAAGTCTGATGTTGACAAACAAACATAAGGAGACAAGCACAAGTAGCCATGAAATCAGGAAATCAACCAGAAGGTGGGAACCATACTTTAATAACATTGGTGGACAGTGGGACACTAATGAACAGAAAAACATGAATTTAGGTGTGAGATGGTGCTGGTGACTTAAGCTCAAGGGAGGGTTGGGATGTATTTAACATTAGCTGAGCCATATACAGTCATAGAAACAGACAGCATATGTTATTATCCAGAGTGAATTACCTACCTACAGATAGTAAAGTCTACAATCAACGACCCAGTAAAGTAATAATCAGCATGTTTTTATATTTATTGAAAAATAGGGATTTAATATGAAAGGAAAGTTGAAGATTGGTTTGATTATGACATGTTATGACGTTAAAAGTCTGGTTAATTTGTATATAAAGATTAAACTACACACAGTTCCGCTCGGTGGGTTAGAACATGGTGCTGGCCACAACAAGGTTAAAGGTTTAAAACCCGCTGGAACCAATTTCTCCTGTTACGCTTCCTCCTCTCCTCTTTCATCTTCCTCCTCTCCTCTTCCATCTTCCTCATCTCCTCTTCCATCTTCCTCCTCTCCTCTTCTGTCTTCTTCCTCTCCTCCTGTCTCTCCTCTTCCGTCTTCCTCCTCTCCTCCTGTCTCTCCTCTTCTATCTTCCTCAACTCCTCCTCTCTCTTAATTTCCTCCTCTCTCCTCACCTCCTCTTCCCGTTTCCTGATTGCCTCCTCTTGTTTCCTGATTGCCTCCTCTTGTTTCTTCCTTTCCTCCTCTCTCTTCCTCTCCTCCTCCTCTTCGATCTTTCTCTGGACCTCCTGGTACATCTCGTTGGTGTAGTGTTGTCCTCCATTCCTCTTCACCATCTCCTCTATCTTCTTCAGCAGCTCTGGTACTTGGTCAGGGTTGGTGTTACTGTCACTGTCATTGATGACAGAGTGATATCCACCTCCACATTTGCTGATGAGATCCTGGAGGTTAACACTTTCTCCTACAAACTGCTCAACAGATTTTTTTCTCAGCTGGTCTCCTCCGGTGAACAGCACCATGGTGTACTTTGACGCCTCTTCTCCAAAGTTCTCCTGGATCCACTTCACAGTGTTCCTCTCCTCCTCTGTGAACCTCACCCCCAGTCTGATCACCAGCAGGAAGGCGTGAGGTCCTGGGACTGACATATAGAAGCATCTTTCTAGTTCACATTTCATTTTCTCTATAGTGACTGTTGTGTCAAAGAGTCCTGGCGTGTCAATCACATCGATCTTCCTTCCATCCACCTCTCCACTCTGTTTCTCACACTGAGCAGTCACAGACACGGGGGAGGAGTCTTCTTTAAACCCCTCCCTGCCCAGGATGGTGTTTCCTGTTGCGCTCTTCCCTGCTCCAGTCTTCCCCACCAGAACTATTCTCAGATCAGCTAGACCAGTTTCTGTTAATAACAAAAAGAACATAGAGGCACCATTATATGCTAAATAAATGATCAAGTAAATTATTCAAATAATGTAATTTACAGTACATAGTAATGTTGATGATTATTATAACAACAAAAATGTACTTACTCTGTCTCTCTCTCTCCTCCTCCTCCTGTCTCTCTCTCTCCTCCTCCTGTCTCTCTCTCTCCTCCTGTCTCTCTCTCCTCCTCCTGTCTCTCTCTCTCCTCCTCCTACAGAAATGGTATGAGAGACAGAGAGAGAGAGAGAGAATCTGACCACTGTGACTGACCCAAACTTAAGGAAAGCTTTGACTATGTACAGACTCAGTGAGCATAGCCTTGCTATTGAGAAAGGCCGCCGTAGGCAGACCTGGCTCTCAAGAGAAGACAGGCTATGTGCACACTGCCCACAAAATGAGGTGGAAACTGAGCTGCACTTCCTAACCTCCTGCCAAATGTATGACCATATTAGAGACACATATTTCCCTCAGATTACAGCGATCCACAAAGAATTCGAAAACAAACCCAATTTTGATAAACTCCCTTATCTACTGGGTGAAAAACCACAGTGTGCCATCACAGCTGCAAGATTTGTGACCTGTTGCCACAAGAAAAGGGCAACCAGTGAAGAACAAACACCATTGTAAATACAACCCATATTTATGTTTATTTATTTTCCCATTTGTACTTTAACTATTTGCACATTGTTACAACACTGTATATATACATAATATGACATTTGAAATGTCTTTATTCTTTTGAAACTTCTGAGTGTAATGTTTACTGTTAATATTTATTGTTTATTTCACTTTTGTTTACTATCTACTTCACTTGCTTTGGCAATGTTAACACACGTTTCCCATGCCAATAAAGCCCTTAAATTGAATTGAATTGAATTGAGAGAGAGAGAGAGAGAGAGAGAGAGAGAGAGAGAGAGGAAATGTGGAGCTAAAATGAGGATGTGTTTCAGTTACGTTGCTATAAGTGAATGTTACACATATAGAGGCTTTGAATCAGAGTGTCTTGTACAGTACCAGTTTAAGGAGCACTTGATGGACAACTTCGTTTATTGATTGCTTGTGCCTCTCATATGTTCTCTCTGTCACAGTGAGGCAATCTGAATAATAAGGAAAAAGAGTTAAACCACCAAATAGTCCCTTGTGACAGACTGCTGACATAAATGTCCAATCAATAGTTGGTCCTGGGTTCCCAATATGAACGACCAAACAACATACCAAGGTACACAAACAGGTTCAATCATCTGATGAATGACACCTGTTACACATAAAGTGACAGGGCAAAGTATAAAACAACCTTCCTGTAGTCTCACCCAGGAAATGGGGTCTCTCAGAGGGCTGTTGGTCCCAGCACTTTACCATGAGGTCAACCATCTCCCCCAGCCCACCAGCCTGGTCCCTGTCCACTGCCTCCAGAGGAGGCCTGTCGCCCATGGGGACCCGTAACCTCACCATACTGGACTGGAGATCTACAGGAGAGACAAAGGGTGAGGAATTTGGGAGGGAGTGAGAAGGTGAGTGACATAAAGACAACAGGAAATCTAAATAATAGTGAGTAGTGACGGGTGAGATGGATGACAGAGACGGAGAGGAAGATGTTTGTGTTAACGTGTGCGTTAATGTGTGTGTGTGTCAATGTGTGTGTGTGTGTATGTGTTAATGTGTGTGTGTGTGTGTGTGTGTGTGTGTGTTAATGTGTGTGTGTATGTGTTAATGTGTGTGTGTGTGTGTGTGTGTGTGTGTGTGTGTGTGTGTGTGTGTGTGTGTGTGTGTGTGTGTGTGTGCTTAACAGTGACATTGAATTTCCACTTACAAGGGTTATCTGCATAATAGGGCTCCTTTCCAGTGAAGATGGACCACAGCAGTATGCCATAGCTGAGAGAGAGGAAATACAGAGAGTAATCAAATGTCCACGGTACTTTCTGACTGCTGTCTCTCAGTGTTGTACCTGTAGATATCAGTGGCTCGAGTTGGTTCATATGATGATCCAAAAGCCTCAGGGGGCATGTAGCTAAGAGTGCCTCCTTCCTCCCCAGGCTCCTCTCTGGATGTCTTCAAAACACTATGGGAGACTTCGGCAAGGCCAAAATCTGTAAGCTAGAGAGAGAGAGAGGGAAAGAGACAGCGAGAGAGACAGCGAGAGAGAGAGCGAGAGAGAGAGAGAGAGAGAGAGAGAGAGAGAGAGAGAGAGAGAGAGACATTTGCACATCCTTGCAACACTGTATATAGACATAATATGACATTTGAAATGCCTTTATTCTTTTGGAACTTTTGTGAGTCTAATGTTTACTGTACATTTTTTATTATCTATTTCACTTGCTTTTGGCAATTTACATTTGAGTCATTTAGCAGACGCTCTTATCCAGAGTGACTTACAGTTAGTGAGTGCATACATGTTTTCATACTGGTCCCCCGTGGGAAACAAAACCACAACCCTGGCGTTGCAAGCGCCGTGCTCTACCAACTGAGCTACAGGGGACTATGTAAACATATATTTCCCATACCAATAAAGCCCCTTAAATTGAATTGAAAGACAGCGAGAGTGAGAGAGACAGCGAGAAAGAGAAAAAAAGAAATAAAGAGAGAGAGAGAGAGAGAGAGAGAGAGAGAGAGAGAGAGAGAGAGAGAGAGAGAGAGAGAGAGAGAGAGAGAGAGAGAGAGAGAGAGAGAAAGAGAGAGATGGGCTTCACATAGACTAAACAGAAATAGTCATGTCATTCACATAGAATGACAGTTGAGTAAATATTTACACTGCCAGTGGGTAGTGATGACTGCATATAGTTCAGATTGATCTCACCACTAGTATAGACTCAGGATCTTGGGACTTGCCTTTGCATTAAGGTTGTCATCCAGCAGCACGTTATTGGGCTTCAGGTCGCGATGCAGAAGTGGCTGAGGGAGGTTGTGGAGGAAGTTGATTCCCAGAGCGATCTGGTGGGCCAGGCGGAAGGACAGGGGCCAGGGTGGGGGGCCAGAGAGTGTTGCCTGGAGGGTCGCCAGTGAGCCTATCTTCATTAACTCCATCACAATACCCAGCTGGGTGGAGGGGCCTCTACCTGGAGATGGAGGGCACCCCTGGTACACCCCCAGAATCCTCAGCACATGGGGGCTCCCTCCCTTCTGCATATTTTTTACCTCCTTAAGCAGGGAAGTGCTAGAACTGGAATGAGGTGTGTGTGTGTGTGGTGTGTGTGTGTGCAGGGGGGGGGGGGGACGGGACAGACCAACAAGTTATTGCTCACATACTGTATACCCTTTAATCATATTTAATTTGAAAGATTACAGCTATCCATCAGACTCATTTTCGGGAATGTTCGGGTCAACAGAACTTTGACCTTTGACCTCTAGGTTACATATTAGAATTACCTGTATAAATTGCTTTAAAACGTTGTTTGACAAGTGGTACTGAAAGGTCATGAAATTACCTTTCAATTTATATATAAGATAACCATACTTTGAAAGCACCAGCTACAACTATTGTTTAAAAACCACCCATATTGTGCCATTGACATCAGAATGTTGGAAGCTTAGCCATAGAATTCCATGAAGAGGGGAAGCTATGTTTTTGGATTGTAACTTTGTTGATAGAGGTACCAAATTTCACACACACCGCTAGAACAGGGTTTTAAAAATATTTGTAGATACAGGGCCATCACAGGATTTACCAATACAGGGCCATCACAGGATAGCCCGAAAGAAGCCTTATTCCAATATGGCCGCCAAACAACTCAATGGGGTCTTATTGGATTATTTGCTTGACCTTACCTGATGAAGTTAATTGTAGTATGCCAATAAATCTAAAATGTCATAGTGATGTAGAATACACGACCACATGGCCCAGATGTATAAAGATGTTACATTAATCACAGAATTGTGTTAACAAGGTGCCCTAAAAGCTCTATGAATTGCTGACTTCTGAATATTTTATCTTCAAACATTTACAATGGATATGTACAAGTGAATAGTCATGGATGTGAGCTTATTCAAATGATATACAATGTTTCCTATTAACTGTTTTCATAAAAGGTTATGGAAAAGAGCAGAAGCGCTGAACTATCCGTTCAGACCAGTCCTACCTACCTACAGGTTTTGGAAAATGTGCTACTTTAATATTGTGCCAGTCGGTTTCCTCAAGTAGAAAGCCTGCAATTCCATGTCAAATAAAAAAATAAAAATAGTAACTACTACGGTAATGTCTGCAAAAACACCAGTAAATACTACAGTATACTACAATACGCAAAAAACACTACATTAATTACTATGGTATATACTACATTTTTCTTTTACTACCGTGTTTACACTCTTTAAAAAAAAAAAATGCTATCTAGAACCTTAAATGGTTCTTCGGCTGTCTCCATAGGTGAACCCTTTGAAGAACCCTTTTTGGTTCCAGGTAGAACACTTTTGGGTTCCATTTAGAACCCTTTCTACAGAAACAGTCAATACTACTGTAGTATAATACTACTGTATTGACTGTAGTATTCAACGTATACTTTTTTTCTGCAAAAACACTACAGTGAATACTATAGTACATTTTAGTAATTTAGCAGACACTCTTATCCAGAGTGACTTACATTTTCATACTGGTCCACTGCGGGAATCAAACTCACAACCCTACCAACTGAGCTGCATGGGACCAGTACACCGTATTATATTTTCATGTGGTTGATCCAATAAGACCCCATTCAGTTGTTTGGCGGCCATATTGGAAAAAGGCTTCTGTGGGTAAATACGTGAATCCTGGGATGAAGGCCAGGTGGACTCAAAGAATACTAAAATGGAACTTCTTTAGGACGGCAATACTTTATTCAGTAGCTCCTCGTTAGCAGTTACACTGTACTGTTAGCAGTTACACTGTGAAACCGAGTGTTTAGGATCTGAACACAACTAAACTCTTTTCTGTAACACTTTTTAAACGCGTCAAGGCATTAATGAAAACGCGTCACAGTGTTTAGATTGTAAACACCAGAACATGTTCATTCGCTCTAACACTTTTCAAACGCATGAACACATTTATTCAGCACAAAGCGTTTAGGTTTTAAACACTGAACACTGAGGATGTTGTTTTAACACTGTATGGTGTAAAGCCGTCTTTGCATATATCCCTGCATGCCTTTCGACTGAATGTGAGAGATACCCACCCATGACTGTGTTTGTTAGTGACAGAGACAAGATTGTTGCATTCAATAACATCTATTGCTGAAGCCTTCACCAAGTGACTGCCTAAGTGAATGTGTTTCAATTAAAAGTAAACCCTTTATGACCACACATTTCACGTCACAAGGCCTTCAGTTATGGTCTAGTTATCCTCAGCATTTAGTTATGGTCTAGTTATCCTCAGCCTTTAGTTATGGCCTAGTTATCCTCAGCCTTTAGTTATGGCCTAGTTATCCTCAGCCTTTAGTTATGGTCTAGTTATCCTCAGCCTTTAGTTATGGTCTAGTTATCCTCAGGATTTAGTTATGGTCTAGTTATCCTCAGCATTTAGTTATGGTCTAGTTATCCTCAGCCTTTAGTTATGGCCTAGTTATCCTCAGCCTTTAGTTATGGCCTAGTTATCCTCAGCCTTTAGTTATGGTCTAGTTATCCTCAGCCTTTAGTTATGGTCTAGTTATCCTCAGCCTTTAGTTATGGTCTAGTTATCCTCAGCCTTTAGTTATGGTCTAGTTATCCTCAGCCTTTAGTTATGGTCTAGTTATCCTCAGCCTTTAGTTATGGTCTAGTTATCCTCAGCCTTTAGTTATGGTCTAGTTATCCTCACCTTTAGTTATGGTCTTTCTTAGTTATGGTCTAGTTATCCTCAGCCTTTAGTTATGGTCTAGTTATCCTCAGCCTTTAGTTATGGTCTAGTTATCCTCAGCCTTCAGTTATGGCCTAGTTATCCTCAGCATTTAGTTATGGCCTAGTTATCCTCAGCCTTTAGTTATGGTCTAGTTATCCTCAGTCTTTAGTTATGGCCTAGTTATCCTCAGCCTTTAGTTATGGTCAAGTTATCCTCAGCATTTAGTTATGGCCTAGTTATCCTCAGCCTTTAGTTATGGTCTAGTTATCCTCGACATCGTTGGCTGAAAATCCTGTCTCATGGGACACATCATACCTGCAAGTCACAGTATGCTGGTTTGTGGTGATTAGTAATTCCTATCAGAATCCAGCCAGAGGGAGGATATCCAGCTATTTCAATATTTTATGACCCACAACCTGCACTCAGAATGACTGCTATGGTGAAGGACTAGACAAACAAGACAACCTACACCATCTAAACTGGAACAACCTTCTCAGTAACGGGTGCAATAAATTCAACCCTTTACAGATTGGATTAGTTTCGAAAAATGTAAGTTTTTCTGTGGACAGGTGTCTTTTATACAGGTAACAAGCTGAGATTAGGAGCACTCCCTTTAAGAGTGTGCTCCTAATCTCAGCTCGTTACCTGTATAAAAGACACCTGGGAGAGAGAAATCTTTCTGATTGAGAGGGGGTCAAATACTTATTTCCCTAATTAAAATACAAATCAATTTATAACATTTTTGACATGCGTTTTTCTGGATTTTTTGTTGTTGTTATTCTGTCTCTCACTGTTCAAATAAACCTACCATTAAAATTATAGACTGATCATTTCTTTGTCAGTGGGCAAACGTACAAAATCAGCAGGGGATCAAATACTTTTTTCCCTCACTGTAGGTGTTCTCCTGGTTGGAAACTGATGGGAAAAACCTGACTATCATGTTTAATCTTGCATTCTAAACGCCTGTGTTTAAGATGAGAACTCTTATTGGCAAATCTAAATGCCTAATGTTTAAATTTAAACACTTACGTTTAGGTTATAAATGTGTCACATGTTTCATGGTTTTGCAGTGTATACAAAAGGGCATTCGTTTGTCAGTGCTTCGTCAATACATTGTCAGCTTGTTCTTCATGACGGCATTAGTTTGTCAATGCTTTGACAATTGTGTTATTTTTTTGGGACACATAATTAACCCCTTATTTTTGGGGGCACAAAACTACCTCCATACTTCAATTTGTTTGTATGGGTTACCTTCAGACGACTCCCGTGACACTTGTGGTCATAATAGTTTTATAGGCCAAACCGTTCGGACGCTGAAGACGTTTTCGTGAGAAGACCGATTTTCGTAACGTCTCATGGTCTGACAATCACCGCTGTAGCTCGCCCAACTTCCACCGAAGATGCGGAAAGCCGACAGTGAATGCGTTGGATTGAGACAGATATCTCTAGCTTAAACTGACAGATTTTTATGGGGATTTGTGTATTATGTTAGTTAGATTGACACACATCAATACAAACTCATTTTCATAAGCCGTCTGCATAATTTATGAACAGGCCGCGGCTCGGGTGGCTGAGGTCCTACATGATCTTCAAATCTAATATCCAAAAGTTTTTTCCGGCTGTAGGTAATAATGCAAGAAATGTTCTGAGCAAATAATGTAAGAAATAACACACAAAAAAACTAAGTACTGCAGTTGGCTAGGAGCTAGAAACAGGGCGACCATGTCTGTCGCCGCCATCTTGTACAGAATAAAATAATTTCCCAGTGTGCCTTGACTTTTCGAGTGAATTATAGAGTTACCACCCATGACTGTGTTTTGTTAGACATGAATGTTGAATTCGTTCAATTTCAGTCCTGTGGTCTTCACCAAGTGAATTACTAGGTGAACGTTAAACTCTTTATGAGAATACATTATATATATCATAAGGCCTTATTCTGAGGCCTAGTTTTACCCTAATACAGTGGCCTGAAACTCATGGTTTACAGGCCACATCACTTTGCAAGTCACATTATGCTGGCATGCAAAGTGATGAGTAATTCCTATTGGAATACAGACAGAGATAAGATATCCAACAGCTGGAATTTCTACTCACCCGCAACCTGCATTCAGAATGACAACCAGGGTTAGGAACATTGATAAAGGAGACTACCTAAACCATTTAAACTGGAACAACCATTTCATTAACGGGTGCAATAAATCTAACTAACTGATCGGATTAAGGAAAAATGTAAGGTATTTATCTTTGTGTAGCATAAGATTAATCAATCAATCAATAAAGATTCAAAAACACAGATATTAAAAACGATTCTTAAAAATAAACCTGCAGTAGAGCATGCTGGGAAATATGATAATGACTATGGTACAAATGTGCCTTTTTAGAGTACCACCCCAGTGACAAAGCCGTTAGTTCCTTTAAAGTGGCAAAAATGTGTCATTGTACCTTATGGTGGGAACAAATATGTACCTCTATTCAATACATTGTCTATTTGTAGCTTTTCTGAAGGTACAGATCAGTACCATCGAGAATTTAGGGCACACAAAATACATTTGTACCCTGAGAAACAGAAATGTACCTTCACCGTACATTGAGAGTGACATTACCTTCAAAATGTTGTATACTGGATATTTAAGATTTTATACTAGATTATCCGCACATGTACCCTAAAAGGGTACTATGTGAGTACCACGTGAGATCATATGTGTACCTCTGAAGGTACAATATGTGTATTTTGATATTTTTGTACCCCAGGGAAAAATACTGTACCCTAACCAAACACTTATTTCTAAGAGTGTAGGTTCACCCCTCCCTCATATTCTAGAATGACCCTTCAGCCCTGTATCTACAAATCTTTTTAAAACCTTGTTCTAGCTGTGTGTGTGAAATTTGGTGCCTCTATCACCAAAGTCACAATCCAAAAACATAGCTGCCCCACTACATGGAATTCCATGGCTACGCTTCCAACATTCTAATGTCACATGGCACAATTTGGGCAATTTTTAAATAGTTGTAGCTGGTATTTTCAAAGTTGGTTATATTATATATCATTTGAAAGGTAATTTCATTAACTTTTTAGAACCACTTGTCAAACAAAGTTTAAAATGTATCAGGGTTATCTTTTTAAAGCAGGTAATTCTGATATGTACCCTAGAGGTCAAAGGTAACATTTCTGTTGACCGGAACATTCCCGAAAATGTGTCTGACGGATAGCTGTGAATCTTAGCTTTCCAATGACGAGGGTATACGTGAGCAATAACTTCTTGTATACTGCCATTGTTTGTCATAGGGGTAAAATCCCTTCGGGTAAAATCTATGTGATGGAGGGATGAAAGATAAGAGTGATATCACAGAGAAAGCTCCATTGCTGCACTGCTGTCACAACTTTTCAAACTCTAGGGAAATAGACCTTTAAAAAAAATCACTATGAGACATCACCACGCCACATGAGCCGGTCTGACCCCCCCCGGCTCATGAACTAGAGCAGGGGTGTCAAACTCATTCTATGGAGGGCCTAGTTTCTTCTTCTTTCAATTAAGACCTAGACAATCAGGTGAGGGGAGTTCCTTACTAATTAGTGACCTTAATTCATCAATCAAGTACAAGGGAGGAGCGAAAACCCGCAGACACTCGGCCCTCCGTGGAATGAGTTTGACACGTGGACTAGAGCCTTAACGTTGCATTCTGAAACCTTTACTCCCCCTAGTGGTACATTGACGTAAACACATTTGACCTAAGAGCAACCACAACAACACAAATATTTAACAAAGACTGTAGGGGCAGCACTTTAAACCAGATAAAAGTTACAGATTGCACCTTTAATCAAAATGGTGGACATAATTAAAAACGTATATATTGTAATGCGGTTCAATTAGTTTTCCTTTCATATTGGCCAGGGCCTAATAGAGATGTTGAATGCACTGGAGCAAACAGAATCAACATGCATACTCTCAAGTATTGTCTTATGCACGGCTGTGGGATGGTCATATATTTACCCATCATCATAATGCAGCAACTTGATGGCCACATCAAACCTCCACTTTATATGCCTGGCCTTGTGGATCTGTCCAAAGCCCCCTCCACCAATCACCTCCCAGTCCTGCAGACTGTCATTACCAATCAACTCCAGTGTCGGGCTGCTGGGTAGCGGCAGCTCCATCTTTCATAAAAAAAAACACTTATGTTAAATACTTTCACTCAGACTTATCAAAATTGCATGAAGACATTTACAGTCGAGATATGGAGTTTACACAAAAGGTAGATAATAGACTAACGCAACTCAGTTATTTGGCCAAATTAGTTTATATGCACAAAGCAATTAAACTCTTTGTTGGGATTTGTATGTCAATAACCTGTGAAATTAACAAACCCTTTTGCTACAGAAGTAGCATGTCGCAAAGATGTTGTTCCCCTGCTCAGTTGTTGCATGCATCAACCAACGGTTTTATGTGTTTTAGATTACACAAGGGGGGGGGTCTGAATGAATATAAATTTAGAAAATGAAAAAAATTGAGTTGTTTAAGACCGGCAAACTGTGGAAAGAGAGACATTAGTGGGAGTTGTAGTTCATGTTTGTAGTTCTAATTAAACGGATGTATTTTTCTGCTTCGCGCTTCTTCTTGGCAGTCAAATACACAGTTTCGAAACCCAGAGGCGCAACATCAGTTGACTTCCGGGAACGCTTGCGAAACAAAACAAACAGACCAGGCCGGGGTTTGTGGTTTGAGAAGTCAATTAGAGAAGTGAAAGATTCTTCCGTAGTTATTCATTTTCTTGAAATCTAAAGGCACAACCTAGATTCGAGCCAATGTTTTAAGTAGTTGAACATGTTATTACTCCAACTTCTGAAAGTGACAAACTGAAACGTTTTCATTTTCGTAAAAAAAACTTGATATCGAAGGAGTGCCGTTGATTTGACGCCCTGCACATGCGCAGCTCGCGTTAGACTCGATGACGTCATCATTTTCTGCCTCGCTCCATACTGTACTGTCTTTGTCAAATACGTTGAAACCCGGCATATGGTAAGTAAATTCACCCGGAAATCACTTATACGTTTGAAAATTTATCTTAATATGATCGCGTTTTCATGTCTTTGACGATGCAAACGGTTAGACTCATTCTTAGCGTACAAAACAAAGATACGGAAGTTACATTTCAGGATCTGACATTTTCTTTGACGTGAATAATGTAAATGTTACTCGATAGAAAATGTTATTAGCAATCATTATGAAACATAACCACCTACCTGCATTGGTGTGATTTATTGAAACTGTTTGCCAATCGTGTGCAATTCGATGTAGGCTTCTTGGTTCAGTGTAGCGAAGCATGAATTACTCACTGATAGTTTATTGAAAATGAGTCTGGCTGCCCTGTGTCCGGGAGTAGTGGGGATTTCCACTCTTATGCATTTACTATTACGTCATTTCTGGTTAAATATCATTTATGCAGGATTTACTGATTCTGTTACACATTAAGACAACAACAATAACAACATTGTTGAGATTTGTAGTGACCTGATATTAGCCTATAAATGTTGTCGCTGGATCTGGCTTCGATCCCCAGTTGGGGCTCACTATTTTTGTGTACACGAATTATTCTTTGATCGTGTATATTTGGTTGATCTAGACATGTGCAGTGCTTAATTTGAGCCGGATCCGTACATCTACATGAGAAAGAAAATCACTGTTTGCAATATACAAATTATAATAAAAGCTATCAGAGTTCATTCGAGTTGTCTCCTGATTACCTCATTCTCCTGCTAAAAAAAAACGTAATTGTAAAACGTAGACTTTCAGCCCGATATTCTTAGAATTCGTGTTGGGCCGGCCCGGGTTTATGTTTTGCGCAACATTATAGACTATGTTTGAGACCAACGCGTGACGGTTGCTGCGGGCGGTGAGAGAGAGAAGCGCGCCTGTATCTCAGAACTAAATCCGTCAGTGAACAGCATGCAGCCAGAACAAGCCTTTCCCAATATTTCAAATAGGCTACAATCGCAGGAAAACACAGGTCGGAAAGCAAATGGCTCCTGCTTAAAAGAAAATACTCTAATCTGACTGTAGGCTACCAAAATATTGTATAAACTTCTAAATAGGCCTGTTGAGCAAACATTGTTTTACAATGTGATACAAAAGAGATAGGCTTTTGGGCACGAGAGTATTGGCCATCACCACGAGAGTATTGGCCATCACCACGAGAGTATTGGCCATCACCACGAGAGTATTGGCCATCACCACGAGAGTATTTGCCATCACCACGAGAGTATTGGCCATCACCACGAGAGTTTTTGCCATCACCACGAGAGTATTGGCCATCATCACGAGAGTATTGGCCATCATCACGAGAGTATTGGCCATCACCACGAGAGTATTGGCCATCACCAGTGAGTGAGATGTGCATCATTGGGTGAGTCAGTGAAAGTGGAAAGCTTTTCTAGCACAGGAGGTTGGTGGCACCTTAAATGGGGAGGACGGCCTCGTGTTAATGGCTGGAGCAGAGTAGTGGAACGGTATCAAATACATCAAACACATGGTTTCCATGTGTTTGATGCCATTCCATTTGCTCCATTCCAGCCATTATTATGAGCCGTCCTCCAATGAGCAGCCTCCACTGTTTTCTAGAACTATAATTTCCTCCTCATATTGTAGGCCCTGTGTAGCTCAGTTGGTAGAGCATGGCATTTGCAACGCCAGGGTTGTGGGTTCGATTCCCACGTGGGGCCAGTATGAAAAAAAAAAAGTATATATATATGTATGCACTCTGGATAAGAGCGTCTGCTAAATGACGTAAATGTAATTGTACAATATGTGTCTCCACACACCTAGGCCTGGGCTATTGATGGATTCAAGACAAGTTAGTTTTATTGATCTCAGTTTGTCAGTGTCAAAGTAGCCTGTCATTTCGATCATATGTGCGGTATAAAAAAATATTCTGCTAGTCTCCAGTCATATAAAATGAGGTAGAATTGCATGAAATGTGTTTATATAAGGCCAAATTCTTCGCGGACCCAAGTAAAATCCCCCCATGTGTGCAACTTCTGTAAGATCCTCTACTCTACTGCTCTATGCCACTACGCAAATGCCATGATGTGCATGCAATGCTTTATTATAAAGGTGATTATTTTGTCACCACCCGATTTACAATTTAAGCACTGGTCATGTGTTGTTGTTGTAAGTAAGCATTTCACTGTAAGGTCTACACCTGTTGTATTCGGCGCATGTGACAAATAAAATTTGATTTGATTTTGAACTCCTGTCACACAATATCTGAATACTTGGTCAGATGAAATCAGGGAAAGATATTGCTGGATGAATCTCTCTTTTAATCCCTTGATGACTAACAGGTTCAGACCCATATCAGGACTGACTTAACAGAAGTAGGCTAGCACTGGTGATGAATATCAGGGTTTCATCTATCTTTAAATAATCAATATATGCTCTGTATATTTTATTTATTTATTGGGCTTTTATTAATTTCCAAATGATTAATAATTCAAAGTTTGATAATTGCATCAAGAAACATGATCCATCACCAAAGCCCTTCCATCTATATACATTAGAATCGTTTTTAAAAGTAGGGTCCCGCTTTATTTGAAGTGCATCTTATAAAGGCTTCATATAGGCTTCATAAACACTACATAAATGCTTCACAAATAATCTATAACCGTACATCATGCTCTATAAAGATTCATAATGTGGCATAGCTGTGTGACAAAACCATCCATGTATTTGTTCACATTTATTCATCTTTTATAGAGCATGAAAAATGATTATAGATGATTTGTGACCGATTTATGTAGTGCTTATGAAGCCTATATGAATGCTTTTTGAAGCCTCCATAAGATGCACTACACATGGTGCCTCCCAGTGAGTCAGGGGCTCCACCAGTTCCTGACCAGTCCTGTTGTAAACCATATCACCGCCCCCGTCAACCCTCCCATGACAACACCCCCAAAACCACCTGTCAGAACCCCATCAACAACCCTGTCACTATGGCGACGAAGAGCTCCAATCTGTCACAGACGATTCTTTGCCTGTCCTCCTTCCTCCACTGGAATCTGTAGCCTCCCTCTCCTCCACCTCATTGGACCGCACTGCCAAGGGAAGACACACCCCTCTTTACTCACAGGGGAGAACAGTTATTTGAGGGAAGTGTATGAAAAATAACCTCATAAATGCTATATTGTACTGTACTGTTCTGTATTGTACTGTATTGTACTGTACTGTATTCTACTGTATTATAACTATCAACTATTGTGAATAAGTATAATTAAGGAAATGGCACAGATCATTAATCAATGTATTTCACAAATCACCACTAGATGGAGTGCTTTCACTAAAAGACTGAAAAGGAGCTATTTCTATGGAGAAAGATGAAGTAGCCACTAGACACTGATCTGAGGTCAGCTTTGTGTTTTGGTCGTATAAATACGGCCTGACAGGATTGGATAGGATAGGTGCCATCAAGGGGTAGAAATGCCCACATAGCCTTTCACAGAGGAAGGTGGGACTACAGTATCGCTTTAATACAGGTCCTAATGGTTGTCCCAGGATCCAGATTACCCTGACTAAATACTAACCAAACCATTAAATAGCTAAATCATATCTTACAGATTTGTGGTCCTCTGTAGCTCAGCTGGTAGAGCACGGCGCTTGTAACGCCAGGGTAGTGGGTTCGATCCCTGGGACCACCCATACACAAAAATGTATGCACGCATGACTGTAAGTCGCTTTGGATAAAAGCGTCTGCTAAATGGCATATTATTATTATTATTATATATGGGGCCAATATGGAAGTGAGTATGTTGCTTTATGATGAGTCACTCACCCACTGTAGGTCTCTGAAACACAGGAGAACTCTATGCAGCTCTGACCAGCTCCTCTTTGTAGGAAGTCAGCAGTTGTCTCTGGACTCTATCTCCCATGATCCTTTGCTGATACTCCTCTGGGTTCTCCCCAGTGGCACTGGCTGATGAGGAGGGAAATGTAGTCATTGGACTTTTGTTCTGTTAGGTAACATTCTCCACATTGGAGTTTGGCCTGAGCATGCACTACAACAGGATATTTAGTGATTTCTCAATCTTTAGTAATGTTTAATATTAAGAAATAAGGAAGTCAAGAAAAGTTCAGAAAAGTTTATCTGACGCACTTCCATCTCAGCTCAGCCGGGGTTAAGGAGACTCTCACAACAAGTAATGTTAGCACACCACACTGAGGAAGTTATGGAAAAAAATATTACTGAATGAGGAAATCGCAAATTCTGGTATCCACTGCCAAAATACTATGATCATAGCGTTTGTATGTGTGTGTGTGTGTGTGTGTGTAAATCAGCAAGCCATGCAGCAAGTCAACTAAACACTCACCTAATATTCCTATAGCTGTGTGCTCCAGTCCTTCTCTCTCTAAGGTCAACCAAAACATGTAGTAACACACATCCTAGACCTGTGCCGTAGTAAGTATGTGATGTCACCCTCCCTCCCTTCTGGGTCTCCTACCTCCAGGAATTGAACCTTTGCAATATCTAAAATCACCTGTGCCGGTTGTCGAGACAACACCAGGTAAACACCTGTAAGGACACACCCATCTAATGCTCCTGAATTATATTAATAGACCATGTGACTACAGGTCTCTCAAACAGAATGATATTAATATACCATGTGACTACAGGTCTCTCAAACAGAATGATATTAATATACCATGTGACTACAGGTCTCTCAAACAGAAAATATTAATATACCATGAGACTAGTGATCTCTCAAACAGAATGATATTAATATACCATGTAACTCAGGTCTCTCAAACAGAATGATATTAATATACCATGCGACTACAGGTCTCTCAAACATAATTATATTAATAGACCATGTGACGACAGGTCTCTCAAACAAACACAAGAAGAGATAGTGAGTACATGAGAAAAGCAACAAACTGGAAAATAACGTTCGATTGGACGTCCCTTCATTTTAGAACAAGCACCTTGACTGAATAACTGCAAAACTATTTAATTAATGAATGACTGATTTGTACGTTGTTATGTACATTTGTTATACATTGCAATAAAATACTTTTCCAAAATGCATGTGTCCATTGTTGATGAAAAGGGGCGGCAGGTAGCCTAGCGGTTGGGAGCGTTGGGCCAGTAACTGAAAGGTCGCTGGTTTGAATCCCCAAGCCGACTAGGTGAAAAATCTGCCGATGTGCCTTTGAGCAAGGCACTTAACCCTAATTGCTCTTGTAAGTCACTCTGGATAAGAACGTCTGCTAAATGACTAAACTGTAAACAACGTTTGGAAAAAGTGATTTATTGTAGGATAGATTTATTTTGTCTAAGATTGTATTTGTTCATCCCATTTCAATGTGACCAAGATCCCTTTCCATCTCTGGCCATCTCTGTGTGTACTCGTACTTTACTCGTACTCTGTCAATGTGTGTGATTTATAATTGTAAGTGCCCTATTGATCAGTTGAACATTGACTCAATAAAATGTTTTTGTAACCCATTGACCATCAGTTGAATGCACGTGTCACTTCAACTGATTTGTTTCTGGCCATCAACACGTCAGTATCTTCTGGGCTGATTAAACCAAATAATAAAACAGGTTTTAACTAACGTGGTCTATTATTTTAGATATTGACCTTTAAACTTCGACCCAGTGACTAAAGAGATATAGTAAAAAAAAACGTATTTCATTTAGAAAAACACAAACACAAGTATAACAATAACATGTAGAATTTGTATCATAGTTTGAACACAATAAACACACGTTACATTATTCTTACAAGATAAACTAATTGTTGATGATTTGTTAGCACACACACACTAGATTATTTGGATTCATGAAACAGAAATATATTTTAAAAGTAATAAATCAAACAAAGAAAAACGTACACAAGGAAGGTTGAGGACTGGTTTGAAAGATGATACAGTCCCATCAACTACAGCAGATGGCATCATATAACTTATAACTGAACAAGATTCATCACTACTGATAACAGGCCAGTGGATATCCAAGGGAAAGTTAAATGGCATACATCATGATCCTTCAGTTTCAACAACAGAACCAATGGGGCTCCTTGGCAGGTAACTACTTGCTGACTGAGTAAAAAAAGATAAGAGCACCAGTACAAAATGCAATACCAACAACAATACTAATGTCAACAGCAGCATAACCATCCCTAAATATATATCATATGTGTTAGGGTAGTAGTTGTCATAGGGACAACACCAAAACTCAGTTATGTTAGGATATGTGTTAGGGTAGTAGTTGTCATAGGGACAACACCAAGACTCAGTTATGTTAGGATATGTGTTAGGGTAGTAGTTGTCATAGGGACAACACCAAGACTCCAGTTGGTTAACTGACTTCACTGAGGAAGGTGCCATACTTCTCTGGGTCAGGTCTCCCCTGCTAGTACTATTGCATTGAATATGGACTCAAAATCAGTTAAACAATCATTTTGAAATTTTGAAAGATTCCGCAGTCACTAGTGTCAGGTGATCTGATAAGTAACTTCCAAGAAGCAATCAAAGGTTGTCTCAGAACATGTTAGGGTATCAATAAAATGCAAGCTTACATTTATTTTAATGAGGCAGAACTGAGAGATTTCTGTTAGATGGGCCAGCTGAAGTCTAAATTGTCTATATCGTAAAAAAAAAAATGGTAATAAAAAATGAGCTTTTTGGTACTATTTTAAGGCTAGGGTTAGGCATTAGGGTTAGCAATGTGGTTAGGGTTAGGTTTAAAATGTGATTTTATGACTGTGGCTGTGCCAGCTAGTGACCACTCTGCAGAGCTTCCTCCAGTACATGAGTCCTCCCAATATATGCCAACCTGCCAATACAAAACAGTACAAAGGTTTTCCTCCTGCTGCAATAACAGAATGTTTACCCTTTAAATTTACATTTACATTTTAGTCATTTAGCAGACGCTCTTATCCAGAGCGACTTACAGTTAGTGAGTGCATACATTATAAAAAAATAAATAAAATAAAAATCATACTGGCCCCCCGTGGGAATCGAACCCACAACCCTGGCGTTGCAAACACCATGTTCTACCAACTGAGCTACATAAATGCTGGAAGATATGAACTGAGTCTGACAGTAATACTAAGAATAATCCTAACATGTACAGTATGAAGTAGGATTTACACAATGTATTGGATTGAATATGGATTCAACTGTTGAAAAAAAAAAAAAAAACTTTAGACTTACAAAAACTTTCCACAGACCTTTTGGGTGAACAATCCCTTTTAAACATATCAGAGATTAAAATACGTCCTTGTCAACATAGTGGAGAAATACACAGATCCTAAGCATTGATACATTCTGAAATCCATCTCTAAAGTTTTTGTTCATCAAATTTCACCTGAAATCTGTTTAAAAACAACAACTTTGAAACTTTCATTTACATTTACATTTACTTTCCCCACTTATCTCTCAGATGTGCTAATAAGGAATTGCCAAGGTGCAATCAAAGGTCGATGGCATTTGTTTTGACAGCAAATAAAACACAATATACAAACATATCTTCCAAAACAGTATACCAAATACCACTGACAAACTTTATACACATGGGTATACACATTTAAACCAAAATACATAAGGCTTCACAGCAGTGGAGGCTGCTGAGGGGAGGACGGCTCGTAATAATGACTGGAACGGAACAAATGGAAACCATGTGTTTGATGTATTTGATTCCATTCCACCTATTCCACTCTAGCCATTAACACGAGCCCGTCCTTCCCCAATTAAGGTGCCACCAACCTCCTGTGCTTCACAGGCATTTAGGGTTCACTTTGAGTTACCGTTTTTCAGCATTATGCAGCATTTTTCAAATACAATTCAAGTTTAAAAATGAAGAATCTTGTCTTTTCTTTTGCCCACTTTATGTATAGAATATTTACCATACATAATGAAGACATTCATTATATATATACTTTGCTCTGATCTATCATCAAACAAAAGTAAAACATCCATACCATCAAGCCGAACCCTAGCCACCAGTTGATCTAAAGAATACATGTTCTAGATCCATCCAAAAGATCTTATTGCAAATATATTCAAATAATAAATTACTTATAGTTTCACACTTCACAGACATTGTTAGTGACAGAATACTTTCTGCTTAAGTTCCGTACCTCTTTCCAATTAACATTTTTACATTTTGAATTCCAGCAGAGGCGTCATGCCCATAGGGGGGCACAAGGGCACGTTCCCCCTCAGATTTGTCCTGTTATTAATTTTTGTTCAGATGTTAACACTGACTGTTAACAAACCCCATTCTCTCTAGTAAGTGATTCCTTCCCAGGTGTACCGCGGATGAAAGATATGCTAGGCAGGATGGGCGCAGATAGTATCGTCAGTGGAGGAGGAGAGAGAGTGTCGAGTGACACCACAGAGCATTTGATTTTAGCTGCTGGTGATGGCCAGGACTCACAGGAGGTGGAGAGAGAGTGTCGAGTGACACACAGAGCATTTGATTTTAGCTGCTGGTGATGGCCAGGACTCACAGGAGGTGGAGAGAGTGTCGAGTGACACACAGAGCATTTGATTTTAGCTGCTGGTGATGGCCAGGACTCACAGGAGGTGGAGAGAGAGTGTCGAGTGACACACAGAGCATTTGATTTTAGCTGCTGGTGATGGCCAGGACTCACAGGAGGTGGAGAGAGAGTGTCGAGTGACACACAGAGCGTTTGATTTTAGCTGCTGGTGATGGCCAGGACTCACAGGAGGTACAGTGCCGGGAAAAAGTATTTGCCCCCTTTCAAATTTTCTCGACTTTTGCATATTTTTGATACTGAATGTTATCAGATCTTCAACCAAAACCTAAAACTAGATAAAGGGAACCTGAGTGAACAAATAACACAACAATTACATACTTATTTCATTTATTTAATAAACAAAGTTATGCAACACCCAATGCCCCTGTGTGAAAAGTAAAAAGTAATTGCCCCCTTACACTCAATAACT